GACAGGGTCATTAATGGCTCCAAGGCACATGCAACTCCATATGGGTTCATACTGACTACTGTGCTGGACAGGCTAAGGGTGCCCTTGAAGAAATGGGAGATGGCATCAAGCAAAGAGCATTTTGGTGTCAGGACCTTATTGGCTTGTGACTATCCTGTCAATGCCACCCCAGTTGAACCTGGTTCATCTCTGAAGACACTAGTGAATAACAAGGTTAGGACTTTGGTTCAAGAGTGTGGGACTAAGGATGCTGAAATTGCTAGGCTTCAGGCTTGTGTTGCTGATTTGGAAGTTGAAAGAGATGGCCATCGAGCTGAGCTAGCAAAAGAAAAGGAGAAAATTGAAGGAATGCTTCAGAATATGCTTAACCTTCTCCAAACCCAGCCCTCTAGTTCCTCCAAGCCTAGGTCCTCCAGTTCATGTTTTTGAGCCTATCTAGAACCCCCAGTGACCCAGAGTCGGGACTTTTTCTGTTTTTGTTGCTCATGTTTGGAAGTTTTTCTTTCTCTTTGTGGTCTGTTTGTGGAAACATATCCTAATCAATGACAATTTGCTTTTTCTCTTGTTCTATGAAGATTCTGATCTTAATAGTTAATTTTGTTTGTTGGTTGTTGATTAATTGAACCATGTTTTCACTTGCAGTTGCCCCAGTGGCTATGAGTAACTATTAAAATCTGGGATTCACAATATTTGCAACTTTTTGATGATGCCAAAAGGGGGAAGAGATATTGTGCTTTACCTGTTATTCTGAATAATGTGATATTTATAACCTGATTAAACTCGGTCCTTGATGATAAGTTAAAATTTCTAAGTTAAAGTGTTGATGATTAAGCTGAGTTCCACAGGTTCTCTGATCAGTAAAAGCACAGTGTTTGTCATCATCAGAAAGGGGGAATTTGTTGGCCCAAGTTCAGGTGAAGTTTTGAAGAATGACAAATGAACTCCGTCATGGACCAGGTCCATCATGTGAGACACAGTGTTTATCAACCTATACATGTGAGATACACGTGAAGGAGATAAGTCTCAAGGATAAAGCAGCAATATCTCCTGAACTGATCAAAAAGGTTGCATATTGGATAAGGAAAGAAAGTATCCTCATGGGAAGAGGACGCAATCCGGATAAAGGATAGGGTTGGAGTTTGTATTGTTCAAGGACTCAACTTCGATGGAAGATCAGCAATTGAGTCTCAATCAAACTCTGATTACTAACTCATTAAATAACAGTGATTGTTCTCTTTTACAGGTATTGCACAAACGCTAAAGTGAAACTAAATTGAGAGCAAAAGAGAGAGGCAATTTTACAAGCAATTTATGTGAGATTCAAGTGTGCATTCCTGAAGCTACTTGGACAAGAGAGAAGAACCAATTCCATTGTGTTTTTTATTCTAGTTCAATTGTAGTAGGTGGTTTAAAGCTGTACCTTTCCAGCTTTTGTAGAAGCAATTGTAATAGGTACTTTGAGTATTCAAGTTATAGGCTAACTTGAAGGTGTCGCAACAGTTGAGGCTGTGTGCCTCACTGTGATTAGAGTTTAATCCTTAGGTTTACAAGAGTTTTGTAAATGCTGTTTTAGCTCAGTGGTTTTAGTGTATGTTTGGGAAAATCCTACAGAGAAGTAGGTCGTGGCTTTTTCACCGTTTGAGCCAGGTGTTTTCCACGTAAAAATCTCCGTGTTCTTTATTTTATGTACTTTTAATTCCGCAAACAGTAGTAGTAAGTACACCTAGAAGATCAGGTTCTTCTAGAGCGAAAATTGGGTACCACACAAATCACCCCCCCCCCCCTCTTATGTGGTATTGACGTTTAGAACATCAATTCGATAAAATGTCCAAAAGAGCAGACGAGCGTGATTCTGTTGAATCGGTGTCATCCGTTCCAGCTCTTGAAATTCAGGTTGGTTCAGACTCTATCGAAGTTGATGCCATAGACTATATTAATAGTATCACTAAAACTTTAGCAAATAATGAGGGCAAAATGCCTTACAAATTTCACAAGGAACTAGCACTATTTTGTGGAACCAATTTGCAGATAATATTTCGTTTCCTATTCCTTTTGATGACTCATCCTTGCTTCCATCCAGTGTTTAAGGTGTTGAACAACTAAATACACATGTCTTGTTCCCTGAGATTTAATCTGCTTTAGAGGATCATACCACAAGCCATGTGAACCTGGTTTTTGCTAAAAGTCCTAAGCGAGATACCACTGAAAAACTTAGTCAATTTGCCCCTATGCTTCTGGATTCTCTAACTAGCCTAGTCACAGGTGGTAATGTTCCTATTTGTCAAATACTCGCTTTGACTGTTAGTGTCAATTTGGATGATGGTTATATGCTTGATTCTTCTTATTGTTTTCATGCAAGGGCTTGCACGTATGTCTACTATGTGCCTGAGTCAATAATAGGGACTATCCTATTTGGTAGTTGTGTGGACAATTGGTTTGACACAACGCAAGATTTTCAGGTTGATTCACGTGTGTTTTTATCCCTTGAATCTGAAGTTTTAACTCCAAATGAGGATTTTTCAAAGATAAAAGTCATTACCACTAACCTGGACAATTGGGAAGATAGACAAGCTGAAGGTAGTTTTCTCCTCTTAGGCTTTCACTGTGATTCAACTCTGAAGGTAGATTTTATAAATATATTGTGGTTCTACCAAGATTTCAACGCCCATTTAGACTATTGGGGTGAAACTAGGCAGGAGCGCAATCTTTTTGGATTCTTGTTTGAATTCAGAGTGCATGCTAGGGAGGAGAAACTACAAGGAGTGCTCCAAGCAATTGTTGAAAGTTACTCAAAGCAGTCACCAAATATTTGGGTCAATATAGCCGCTAGACTCTTGTTTTCTATGTTTGGTCTAGCAAGGTCTACTTTGCCGTATATTATCTTTGATCTTGGTGGGGTTAATACTTCCCTTTGTGCACTGATCCAGCAATTGCTTTTTAGACTTGTGAAATACTTAACTACAGAAAAGTATGATACCACACAACAGTACATGAAGATGCGGCTCGCAGCAAATATACTTACTGCCATGTTATAGGAGTGGAAAGCATTGAACTTGAGGAGTGTATATAAGGTAAAGCACCAAGCAGTGGAAGGAGCTGGTTATACATTTTGTGATAGCAGTGAAAATTGTGTGGTTGCAGGGCATGTTATAATTGAACTCAACTTGGTTATGTTGAAATTTTTTACTGTAAATACAAATGATCAGGGTTGTGATTAGTTGATCGCAAGTGTGATGGGATTAAGTGGAGAGCGGGCCTCTAAAATTGTATACCAGTACTTCATGGATAATTCTCCCATCGACGGGTCTGAGCTTGTTAAAGAGTGTTGCTTGTATTCTATTTCAAGTGATTTCAAAATAACTTTTGCTCCTAGCATCGTTCCTGATGGATGTCTCCGTTGCCATTTATCTGACGCTATTTCCTACATTGTGCCCTATCATGTCAATACTGCTTTTGATAGAGAAGGAAATGACTCTACTATAACCATGACAAATTTCATTTGGGACCCATTTCCAGTAGTGCAAGAACACACAATTGATCTTTCCCTTCAATCAAGAATTTCTGCTAAAGAAGAATGGACAGAATGGGGCATTGCTGATACTATTACCATTTTGCTAAGCTATCTAAGGATGTTTGCTTATGCATGTATTACATTGACTGATACTCCGTACTTCTCATCTTCTTGTAATTCGTTACTGCTAAATATTTGGGCTGATTGGGAAGTTATCGTATGCTCGAAGGAAGAATTTCGAGTGCCACAAAAATTCAGCTTCTCTTTAATCGAATTCAGGCTTTTGTGGAGTTTCGCTACTGGAATAGTTGCATTGGTTCTCTCATTTAGCTTGCTTCTGATTGACTCTAAAAGATGGCGACCAAAGGCATATGAATATGTAGGGCAGGTGACGTTAAGATCTCTGTTACTATCTACTAAGAGCCATAATGATTAAAGTTTTGGTTGGTTCATAACAGGTGCATTAGCTCACATATTCTGGTCAAGTCACAAAGCATGCCTTGGTTTTGAGATACGGGATTGGGAGCTCGCGAGTATCACCGATCTTGACTCGAACATTGAGGACAAGGTTCTTATTAAGGACGGGAGTATTGTTATGAACCAGGCCCAACCCAATGTCACAAAAGTCGCTATTGGGCTGAGAAGAGCTTTTGGGCCGAGAACAAGTAATAGGGTCAGGTTGATTTGGGATCCAGGTTGAGTATATGACGCAAGGATGGTTCTGTTAAAAGGGGGACTGGTCGGTTATTTTGAGATTTTGTCTATTGTGAAGAAAAGCCTCTGCTTCTCCTCGTCTTCCTTTCTCTGATTCTCTCTATTCTCATTAGCTTCTCATCCTTTCTTCTCTATCATTTGTATTTCAGTTTAGTATCTCTAATTCTCATAATAGTTTTTGAGTTGAGTTGTAACTTCTTGTCATCGTTAAAGTAATAGAAATATTGGAAAACTTGTTTGTTTCAGGTTAAGTAGCATGCTAAGGCTTATGTCCATATCAATGCGAGTAACTTTGTATAATTGGTGTAAATATCAATGCGAGCAAGTTTTTATGATGGAAGCGCGATAATAGCGTACCACACCATGACTCGCCTTAGCTTTTACATGGATGCAAAAGTAAGAAGACGTGTTCTTTCTAAGTGTAGAAGAAGATTAGTAATGGCAGCTATTACTGCAGCAAAATAATATATGAAGAAATGAATGTACTGAAAACTAACTCAATGAAGACACTTGTTTTTTTGAATCATAGGAAAAGACACTTTTGAATAGTTTCTTTCCTTAAAAGAAGAAAAAAAAGACAAAATTGAGAAAAAAGAAAATATGAATTTTGGTCTTAAGGAGTGCCACATCACCTTTAAAATATAGATCATACTAATATTATTGATTCATCCTTTCATATATACGGTAGCAGAAAGAAAACATCTTATCTAAGTCTATACACATACATGATGTTTGTACGTACGTACATACTTTATTATTGTATAATTTTACATATTTAAGGGTACATGTCTTTAGGCAATCGCGGTTTTGCCTTTGCAAAAAATGGCATGGTACAAAGGAGAGCAGATTCCGGGTAATCATCAGTCAAGTCATTGCCTAGATAGTTCGGTGGTAAACTCCAAGTAAACCCTTGAAGAAGCCTAGCAAGTAACATAGTGGTAATTGCTGAGCCAAGTTTTACACCTGGACAACCTCGTCGTCCAATACTAAATGATAACAAACATAACTGTGAATCCGTGAAAACTACATCACCACCTTTCTCATTGATATGGCGCTCTGGCTTGAACTTCATGGGATCATCCCAAATTTTAGGGTTTCGGCCAAGTCCAAGACAGACTTAATAACACTACACTCCCTTTAGGGATGAAGTATTCGCCAACAACAGAATCCGATACAGACACATGAGGAGCATTAAAAGCCGCCAAGGGATGCAGTCGAAAGGACTCTTTAATACAAGCTTTGACATAATTTAGTTGTGGCAGATCAGATTCTTGAACCAATCTATTGCTCCCAATGACATTGTCAATCTCTTCTATGGCCCTTTGCATTATCTTTGGTTGGTTCAACATTTCTTTGATTGTCCATTCGACTGCATATGAGGGGTTATCTAAAGTAGCAAGCATGAATTCCTGTCGATATAATTGGTAACCGAGAAGGTCAAACGAAATAATCGTTTTTGATTTTCTAAAAACAAACTTTTTTTTTTTGTAAAATCAAATCAAAATATTTTTCAAAAAGCAAAAAATTCAAGTCTCGTTTCCACATAAACAAATAAAATGATGTAATCCAAAAGGAAAATCGATCTTCTGACTTATGTTTCAAAATTTTCCAAATTCTTCTGAAACTACTCCCTCGTTCGAGTCTATGTGAACATTTTTGCTTTTGAAGATTCAACTTACGTACGTTTTGACCAACATTTTGAAAGACATTTTTTATCATTTTGACATGGGAAGAAATAAAGTTATAGTACTTGTGTATAATTTTTGAATATTTGAATTTTAACTTTAAATATCGAGTTAATCTACTTCAATTTAGCTTCAAAGATAAGTTAAATTGATTCTCGAAAAACGAAAAAATTCACATAAACTAGAACAGAGGGAGTAAATCAAGAAAAGCCATCGAGTTATGTTGAATTTTAATTACTTATATGGTCAAAAAACATTTAAATTTGTTATAAGCAAGATTTAATTAAGACAAATTTAGCAGTTTCTAACGAAATCTTACTCGCCTGTTTTGATTTATATGATGCCGTTTGATTGGATACGCTTGAGAAAGAGATTTTTGAAACTTATGACTATAAATATGTCATGACATTTATAGCCATAAAAGCACGTCACTAAAGGTAAAAATAAAAATCTTAAAGTTTATCATGTTGTTCACATGGTTTAAGAAAGTATACTCCCAAGGACTTGTGCTTTAATCTCTTTAGCATTCAACATAGGATTCCCATTAGTATCTTTGAGCATGATAAGAACATCAAGGATATCTTCTTCCAAAGTTTTGTTGCCATTCTTCCAAATATGAATCCTTCGGTCAGTTTCATAATCAATGTGTTTTGTTGCTATGGCAAAGGCTTTCTTAATAATTGCCTTGTGACCATCCAAATCAAATCCACTTAACCATGGTAAGTAATCTGAGANCACTATGAAAAATGGGGTAGTCTCCAGCATGGTGGAGGGTGTAAAAGTAGAGTTTGATGCAACCAAGTTGGGTGAGAATCTGGACATACCTAGTGAAGGGTATGATGATTATACTAGGCAGAGGTGGCCTTGTTTGGATTCTCTCCCCACTGCTCTCCAAATCACTAGGAATTTTTGTGAAGCTGCAAATGCTGAAGATGTACCTGAAGCCAGATTTGTTCAGAAGAGTGAGATGAGATCTGAGCACAAGGTCTTGTTTGAATTTGTTAACAAATGCCTGCTGCCTAGAAAGGAGAGGAGGCATACTGCCAACTATATGGACCTGGTGCTTATGGAATGCCTTGAGAGTGGAAAGCAGATAAATTGGCCTGCTTTTATTGTCAAACTACTGGACAGGGTCATTAATGGATCCAAGGCACATGCAACTCCATATGGGTTCATACTGACTACTGTGCTGGACAGGCTTAGGGTGCCTTTGAAGAAATGGGAGATGGCATCAAGCAAGGAGCATTTTGGTGTTAGGACCTTATTGGCTTATGACTATCCTGTCAATGCCACCCCAGTTGAACCTGGTTCATCTCTGAAGACACCAGTGAATAGCAAGGTTAGGGCTTTGGTTCAAGAGTGTGGAACTAAGGATGCTGAAATTGCTAGGCTTCAGGCTCGTGTTGCTGATTTGGAAGCTGAAAGAGATGGCCTTCGAGCTGAGCTAGCAAAAGAAAAGGAGAAAAGTGAAGGAATGCTTCAGAATATGCTCAACCTTCTCCAAACCCAGCCCTCTAGTTCCTCCAAGCCTTAGGTCCTCCAGTTCTTGTTTTTGAACCTATCTAGAACCCCCAGTGACCCAGATTCGGGACTTTTTCTGTTTTTGTTGCTCATGTTTGGAAGTTTTTCTTTCTTTTTGTGGTCTATTTGGGGAAACATATCCTAATCAATGACAATTTGATTTTTCTTTTGTTCTATGAAGATTCTGATCTTAATAGTTAATTTTGTTTGCTGGTTATTGATCAATTGAACCATGTTTTCACTTGCAGTTGCCCCAGTGGCCATGAGTAATTATTAACATCTGAGACTCACAATATTTGAAACTTTTCGGTGATGCCAAAAGGGGGAAGAGATATTGTGCTTTACTTGTTATTCTGAAAAATGTGATATTTATAACCTGATTAAACCTGGTCCTTGATGATAAGTTAAAATTTCTAAGTTAAAGTGTTGATGATTAAGATGAGTTCCACAGGTTCTCTGATCAGTAAAAGCACAGAGTTTGTCATCATCAAAAAGGGGGAATTTGTTGGCCCAAGTTCAGGTGAAGTTTTGAAGAATGACAAATGCACTCAGTCATGGAACAGGTCCATCATGTGAGACACAGTGTTTATCAACCTATATATGTGAGATGCACGTGAAGGAGATAAGTCTTAAGGATAAAGCAGCAATATCTCCTGAACTAATCGAAAAGGTTGCATATTAGATGAGGAAAGAAAGTATCCTCATGGGAAGAGGACACAATCCGGATAAAGGATAGGGTTGGAGTTTGTATTGTTCAAGGACTCAACTTCGATGGAAGATCAGCAATTGAGTCTCAATCAAACTCTGATTACTAACTCATTAAATAACAGTAATTGTTCTCTTTTACAGGTATTGCACAAACGCAGAAGTGAAACAAAATTGAGAGCAAAAGAGCGAGGCAATTTTGCAAGCAATTTATGTGAAATTCAAGTGTGCATTCCTGAAGCTACTTGGACAAGATAAAAGAACCAATTCCATTGTGTTTATTCTTATTCTAGTTCAATTGTAGTAGGTGGTTTAAAGTTGTACCTTTCCAGCTTTCATAGAAGCAATTGTATTAGGTACTTTGAGTATTCAAGTTAGAGTTAACTTGAAAGTGTCGCAACAGTTGAGGCTGTGTGCCACACTGGGATTAGAGTTTAATCCTTAGGTTTACAAGAGTTTTGTAAATGCTGTTTTGGCTCAGTGATTTTAGTGGAAGTTTGGGAAAATCCTACTGAGTAGTAGGTCGTGATTTCTTCACCTTTTGAGCCAGGTGTTTTCCATGTAAAAATCTTTGTGTTCTTTATTTTATGCACTCTTAATTCCGCAAACAGTAGTAGTAAGTACACCTAGAAGAACCAGGTTCTTCTAGAGCGAAAATTGGGTACCACACAAATCACCCCCCTCTTGTGTGGAATTGACGTTTAGAACATCAGGTTGGCCCAGATTTATATTTAGGAGATAGTCCGGTTACAGGGTATGCCTGTTTCCAACATATCAGATAGGGGCCCTCAGTTCACTTTGCATTTTTGAAGAGCTGTATAGAGTGAGTTGGGGACCCGTGTAGAGCTCACCACAACATTTCATCCTCAGGCTGACGGACAGTCGGAGCGGACAGTTCAGATATTAGAGGACATGTTGAGAGTTTGTGTGATTGACTTTGGAGGACAGTGGAATCAGTTCTTGCCTTTGGTCGAGTTTGCTTACAACAACAGTTATCAGTCAGCATCGAGATGGCTCCATTTGAGGCTTTATATGGTCGGCGATGTCGTTCTCCTATCGGGTGGTTTGAGCCTGGAGAGGCTAAGTTGTACGATACTGACTTGGTGAAATATGCCTTGGAAAAGGTAAAGATTGATTCAGGAGACACTTCGCATAGCACAGTCCAAATAGAAGAGTTATGCGGATCAGAAGGTGCGGGATGTATCATTCATGGTCGGCGAGAAGGTTCTCTTGAAAGTCTCGCCGATGAAGGGTATTATGAGATTCGAGAAGAAGGCAAGTTGAGCCCCAGTTTTATAGGCCCATTTGAGGTGTTGAGGCGAGTTGGGGAGGTTGCTTATAAGTTTGCCTTACCTCCCAGTCTATCGGTGGTTCACTTAGTTTTTCACGTGTCTATGCTCCGGAGGTACCACGTCGACTTGTCTCACGTGTTAGACTTTAGTACTATTCAGCTAGATGAGAGCTTGGGTTATGAGGAGGATCCAATTGCCATTATTGATAGACAGGATTACCAGTTGAGATCCAAAAGGATTTCTGTGGTGAAGGTTCAGTGGAGGGGCCAAATAGTCGAGGAGGTGACCTGGGAGTCCGAGGAGGACATGCGGAGCAGATATCCACACTTATTTAGCACTTCAGGTATGAATCTAAACCCGTTCGAGGACGAACATTTGTTAAGAGGTGGAGAATGTAACGACCCAACTAGTCATATTGCTTTGTAGAACCCCGATCCCCTAAATAAGACTTCCCGTACTTGCTTTTACTGATTTATCACTTGTGGGGATGGTTAGTTCGGGATTTGGGAGAGTTTGGGTTGAAATCAGAACACTTGGTTCCTTAATTTTGGCCTGAAAGGCCAAGTTTGACTTCGGTCAACATTTTGAGTAAATGACCTTGGAATCAGGATTTGACGGTTCCAACAGGTTTGTATGATGATTTCGGACTGGCGCATATGTTCGGATTGGATTTTGGATGACCCGGGAGCGTTTTGGCGCATAATAGTGAAAGTTGGTTTTTGAAGGTTTTTAGAAGTTCTTTAAATTTGGTGTAGAGCGGGTTTTGAGGATATCGAGGTCCGAACGGGATTCTGAGACCGAAAATAGTTCCGTAATGCCATTTAAGACTTGTACGTAAAATTTGGTTTCAATCCGAGTAGTATAAGTATGTTTCAGCACATTGAAAGTAAATTGAAGAACTTGAAGTTCATATGTTTGATTCAATAGGTTTTAGGGTGTGATAGGTTAGTGGAAATTCTAAGTGTTACCTTCCGTTCTTAGTTTTAACGTTGTTTCGGGCGTTCGGAGGGTTCGAACGAGTCCGTTTTATCATTCCAAACTTGTGGGTATGTTCGGGAGGAGCCCCGGGGGACCCTTCTGATGAGCTGCCCTTTTGAGCCGTTCTGCAGCAGTTGGAGTCTCTCTTATGTCTTTAGTTTCCTGTCTATTTCCTTTCCAGACAGTAGGATAGCATGGTTTTGTATATTCTACTAGATTGCCCACATACTTGTGACACCGGGTCTTGGCACACACATTAGTAGACTTATGATTTTGGATTTCTTTCATGATTTAAATTCGTAATTATTGCTTCCATTTATTTATACTTAAATCTTAAACTCCTAACTTATTTTTATAAATAAAGAGAAGTTATTACGTACTAATTATTTATGCGAGAATTCACTAGTTGATTAGTGTTGGCTTGCCTAACAACGGTGTTGGGCGTCATCACGGCCTATATGGAATTTGGGTCGTGACAAATATATTTGCTCAGCTAGACAGCAGCAACTCCATTTGAAGTTTATTTGATTTAGCCGATAAATCGCCCGATAATCGTTAATCCGACCAATCCGCCCGATATCTTATTGGATGGCTAAGGGAGTATTGTTAGAATTCTATATTTGCAAAGTAATTCTAGAAATAAAATAATATAAAAACAGAAATGTAGAAGAAGCAGATATTAATCCGAGCCCACTGAGTTCACATTGTTTCCTTAAGGAACTTAATCCCCGAGGTTGTAGATTATTTCCTCCCAGGATAGAACGGATTACATACTGGTGTAGTGGTACTTCAAACCCCGGTGTTTCAGCAAACACAATGATCAGTAGCAGATCGCACTTACTGTTGCTTTCTTTCAGTTAAAACAATGCAAAAGAAAGAAGGAGAATTCAGAATTTCGTAAGGAAAATCTGAGGGAATGGTCTGCTATTTATAGCCAACAAGTTAGATTTAAACGAAGAGGTACAACTCTTCAGAATGAGTGTTATGACTATTCACGTAAACACAGCCATTACATAAATGGCTATTTACGCAAAATAAAACGGGAAAATAAAATGCGGAGGAAAATTAATTTATCGTTACAAAAACGGCTAATTTATATTAAAATAATATTATGTTAATCTTAATATTAACAAGTAAATTTGGTCCAGAAAAGTAGTCAATCAAATCATTTGACCAAATCCAAACCCGAAGTCGAGCCGAGCCGAGCGAGCGATAACAACGACGATGCGAGACTTGCCTTCTTCTTAACTCTTTAAGAGTTAGAAGAAG